AAAAAAAAAAAAAAAAAAAAAAAAAAAAAGAAGCTCACATGGTAGAATGCTAAGATCTATTAAATCCAAATGGTGTACCTGGTGTCTGTTATACCAATTTTTAAATGTTCTTGAAATATGCTTGAAGTATTTTGTAATTAAAACAATTTTTTTAAAAAGAATGTGAAGGGGCGCCTGGGTGGCTCAGTCTGTTAAGCATCTGCCTTCGGCTCAGGTCATGATACCAGTCCTGGAATCGAGTCCTGCATCAGGGTCCCTGCTCAGCGGGGAGCCTGCTTCTCCCTCTCCCTCTGCCTGCAGCTTCCCCTGCTTGTGCTCTCTCTCTCCCTCTTTCTCTCTGTCAAATAAATAAATAAAATCTTAAAAAAATAATAAAAAGACTGTGAAGACTTACACAGCAAGGCTCTGGAAATCAGAACAGGATTCTGACTTGAAAGAAGCATGCAGAGCACCAGATGGTCCCGTAGCCCATAGCCTGAGTTCTAGAAATAATCTCCACATGGCAAGAGTGGGTCTAAGCCTGGCTTACACCAAGCTTATTAGAAATAGGGTTTTAGGCATGGGACAAAATTCCAGTAGAAAAAGGAGTAGGTAGACACCTAGAGTTGTTTTAAAATGATTTAACTTGAGTATCATATCTGGACAATTAGCAAGAGAGTAAGCCAAGTGGGTTTTTCGTTCATGCACTCTATAAAGTGTTGTTAGGGGTCACAGTGAACCCCAGTAGCTTTCAGGGTAGCCCCCGACCCTTTGCTGTTGTCTGCGTGTGACAGCATGGGGAGCCACCAGCCTTTCAGAGGCCTCTCAAGGAAGTGGTGTGCTCGGAGAGGGAGAGAGAGAACAGTAGGAGGCTGGAGGTGAGGAAAAGGCAGAGCCCATAATATTTCACTGTTAAAACTGAACAAATGTACTTAGTAAGGATGTAGCATATGTAGACCTCAGAAATAGCATTTCTTCCCAGTAAATCTAAATGCCCTCCCTCTGAATTCCTGCAGGAATGGATTCTGCGGTAAGTGCAGGGCACCCCCTGTTATACCTCCCTCCACTGGAAAGGAGGATGAGGACAATTCCAGTGATGCTCCCATTGCTCACATGCAACAGCAGCCTGCAGGCCGGCTGCCTGGTCTGAGCCTGTTTCCACTTTCACTTTCTCTTCTGTAACAGTTCATAACCGAGTGCCAACAGAGCTCCTATGTTAACTTTTAGATACGCAGTTATCAGAATATGGAATGTTGAAGACATCTTTTTTCTTCTCTTTTCTGTCTTTCTCTTTAATATCCAGTATGCTAGCTCAGAGATCCGAGAAGAAATTATACAGTCACCGTGATCATCATCTTGAAAATAAGTATCTACTAATAATGGAGAAAAGTATGTATGTTTGCAAAATAATATACTTAGGCAATTCCATATAACCCATGTGCAACAGCTTTATAAGTAGAAAAGTATGCATAGGAGAAAGGTTACGGTTGATTTGACCCTGCATCTAGATCAGTGGTCCTAAGGCAGGGTAATTTTGTCCCCCCAGGGGGCATCTGGCAATACCTAGACACCTTTGGTTGTCACAGTTGTCGAGAGGCTATTGACTTCTAGCAGGTAGAAGCCAGGGATGCTGCTGAATATCCTGCAATGCACTGGCAAGCCCCCCACAACAAAGAGTTTTCTGGTCCCAAATGTCAGTAGTGCCGAGTCTGAGAAACCCCGATATAGTTGTATCTGGCCCACTGCTTCCCCCTTCCAGCCTCACACAGAACGGGTGCTTAGTTCACTACAACAGAAGACATGTACAATTGTAAAGATCCTCCTGATAAGAGACAGATACTGAGAGCAACTCTTTCCTCTGTCTAAATTTTACAGAGAGTAGGGATTTAAAATCCCTTTGTAACCTGAAAGGTCCCCTTTTACGATCACTATTAAAAGTGAGACTGGGAGAAGAGCTCTGGGACAAATGCCTCATGGTTGTGTCTTTCTCTCCCTCTTCTCCAGCTTTCTGAGTAAGAGCTTTTAAGATAAATAAAATGACTTCCTTTAACTGTTATGAACAGCAAAGGCATTTAAACTCTCAGTGAACAAAGACAGGCTAGAAGAACAATGACAGTTTGTAACAGATTCTCCAAACTGTTCTTCCTTTTCTTACAACTGGACTAAATGCTTAATAAGTATATGTTGAATTAGTGAATAAAAAATAAATGATTGGGTGAAATAATGACACTGTAGCTCCAGTGTAATAATGAGCAATCTTACACATTTATATTTTGACTTCCTTTATTTTTAGTTGTTTATATACCTATATTTCCCACTAAGTATTAAACTCCTTGATACAGAAACTATGATTTGACAAGAACCTCTAACGTCTCCATTAGGTTGTTTCATTTCTAAATTATTTTGTAAATGTGAGGCGGCAACCACTACATGAGAAGGATGTATGAAGACTGAGCGTAAATGGATAACGTTTTTTTTTATTAGGTAATAAATTTACAACAAAGGTAATGCTATGTATTTGTTAGTATCAAAAATTGTTACTTAGCCACAAAAGACTGGAGCAATTCAAGTAAATAGTTCATGAAAATACCATAATTTACATTTTTGGTACAGAGCCAGTCCGGAAAAAAAAAAACAAAACACCCAGTTTTTCTCTTAATGTTAATTCTTCAGTAATTATAAACAATACCAAAGCTGATAACATGTATCTTTCAATTATCCTTATTGTAAACACACACACATAAACACGTAAAATATTTATATAGATGATACACAGACACATATGTTAAAAAGAGAAGCACTGGAGGGGGCCTGGGTGGGTCAGTCAGTTAAGCATCCAACTCTTGATTTCAGCTCAGGTCATGATCTCAGGGTCGTGAGTTCAAGCCCCACATGGGATTCTCTCTCTCCCTTTCCCTCTGCCTCTCCCTCAGTTTTTGCATGCATGCACTCTCTCTCAAAGAAAGAAAGAAAGAAAGAAAGAAAGAAAGAAAGAAAAGAGAAAAAGTGGTGGATCTGACTCCCTAACATCTGAGTACCCCTTGCCCCCCACCACCCTCTCTCCCTCTTGTTTTCCAGAGTTACAGTTCTCTGCTCCTTATTTTGCCCTTTTCCTCCCATGTCCTGTTCCCTCAGTCCCTGCCTCCAGCACTGCACATGGACACACTCCAAGTGAGAGTTCAACAAGCAACAGCCTGCGAAGAAGAGCCAGCGATCCTTGAGAAAGGTGAGTGAAGTCCTCTCTGAGCCTCAGTCTCCTCACAGACCTTACACTTTTTACCTACAGGGGATTGTTGTGAGGATTAGAAGAGATCATATATGTAAAGCATTTGGCAACTCTTTGGTGCTTAATAAATGCTAATTCCTTTGTTTAATTGCTCCTCTTTCCTCACCCAGATTCTAAAGGACTTGAGACCCTAAGGCTGTGGTTTCCTTCTGTGAGTTAAACACATCATATTTACCCTGCCTGATGACCCTGAATGGGAAAAACATCTTCCATCCCACACGGCAGCTAGCTTGCAAACATGACAGGTAGGGTGGATGCTAGATAATATAGGTGAGTTTCACTCAAAAGGTAAGGAATAACATCACAGTATTTTGTCTTCTGTCTTGGAAGAGGGATAAGAAATTAGAGAGGCCTGCACCTAGAAGTGGAGAGGGAGGAGAGGGAGAAGGCAGAACACAAGGCTGGCAACACCAGAGACAAATTTCCTTCACATCACAGTTTTACTGAGGCTCTGTCCTGTTGCCCTTCACCTAGTCCTCAAAACAAACTAACAAAAGATACGAGAATGTTCTACCCTGAGAGGCACACACACCTTATTGGGAACTGAGCTGATAACCTTTTGCCAAAGTCCTGAATTACTAAACAAACAAAACTTTTACAAATGGCAAAACTGTAATTATTGACTGGCTTATCTGCAAAACGCTTAGCAATCAGCCTACGAAACACGGAGTCATGTTATGAGAATAAAAAACTCAAACTAACTCTGAGAACAATATTCTCAATTAAACTAACAGACAGAAAAAGAACTTGAGGATGTGTAAAAGGCTCGGCCAAGCCCACTCCAGGCACATCAGGAAGCCATAGGTTCCGAGGACTGGCATGTGTTGTTGTACAGTTGCTCAAGGAGAGGCCCTACAGCACTTTCAGGCTCTCTGTGGAACACTAATATTCATGTTCTCATTCCATCTCTACAAGACTCTATGAGGTACACACCATTCACATTTCTGCATCATACACATTAGGGTCCAGAGGTTAGGAAGTGTTGGATAACCCAGTGAAAGCCTGGATCGGAGTTCATGCTGTAAATACTGTACCACATAATCCACACACCCAGTCATCTGTTGTCTCTCACTGAATCTCCAAAGGGCTGAAATCAAGCACTTGTTTCGAAGACTTACTAAAATTTCAGGAAGTATTACAACGAAAAAACACTTGAAGATGATCAAGAAATAGTAAAAGTTGGTTAATGCTGAAGTAAGTTCTACTCCATGGAAATATTAATAGAATCTTAAAACGTGTCATTTCTATTGCTAAGAGACAAATTTCTACTTAAAAATTATAATCATCGTGGGAACAGCTTAGGAGCAAAGGCAGATGGTATTCACTTAAAGCATTCCTTTCTTTTGCTCTTAGGAAATCAGATCTTCCAGAATCATATAGAAGGACATCACAGACTTACTTTGACCTGAGGGTAGGACTTCTTGTTCTTTTCACTAGATGCACCGGGGAGTCCCCCATGGGATGGGCCTTCACATACATAACGGAAACGAAATCCTCTCTGCAAAGGTAAATACAGAGCCAACAAGTTTGAGAAACACTTGTTAAAAATTATAGGGGCAAAGTCATATACAAATGCTTAATTCTTGTGTGTATTAGGTGAGAGAGGAAAAACATACACTGTGAAAGAGGACTCTGCAAACGAGAACCACTTTTCCCATAATCTTATTATAAACATAGATGTTAATTGATACTTGCATACTGAGCTGTGGCTTAAAAGCCAGGTCCCTAACCCTGCAGGACCTCTCCTGCTGTGCATATGCGGAGACTGAGCCACTGAAGATTTTAAGCCTTGGACTCGACATGCTGCAGCTTGTTTGAATCAGAGCTTCCTCATCTCAAATTGCTGCTGCCAAGCTCTGAACTTGGCCATATTACTGACTTATGCTTCTTTGACTCTTACTTAAAGGAATTCCCTTACCCACTCTGATTACAGTTGGTTCAGGAGGGGATATAGAAATGTCCTGTTAAATACATTGCATCCGTGTTGTAGAACACACTCCATGCAACAGTTCAGAAGATTTTGGATTTTATGATTACTGATATCATCAAGTTCAAGCTTGATATATTAACTGACCCGAATAATCCAAAACCAGATAATCCCTTTCAATATTATTAACCCAAGAATTCTACAGATACAGTACATCAGTGATGAGACAGCTGGACACCTTTAACCATGTGAACTACTGTGGGCTGATAAACACTGAAGTTCCATGTTGTTGTTGTTGTTGTTTTTAATCTATACAAATGAGAAGATTAGACAAGACCATCTGTAAGGTCTAATCCAGTTCTAGCATTTTATGATTTACAAAGCTAACAGTGATAATTGTACATATTTGTATACCAAGAATAAAGCAAGGACTATTATGAAAATGGATCTGATATTAAGGAAGTTTAATAATGAGGGAGCTTTCAATATTTTTCCTGAAAGACTCAACTTTATAAAGCTGTCAATCAATATGTGTTAGTGTTACAGTTTAAGCTTAATCAGACAGTTTTTCTTTTTTTAAATCCTTTTCAAGTATCTTAATATACTTTAAGAAACATCCTCACCTTTCATTTATTTTTACAGTGGGACTGATTTTATATAAACAGTGCTAGATCACTAGGCCATCAGGAGCTCCGCACACTCACGACTTGCTGGTAGGGGCTTTCTACCTTTCATACTCTTAACAATTGCAAAGCCTGGCAAATGCAAAGGCTTTAACAGCTTTGAGCTCATGGGCCAATGTAAAAATTCTTGCCCTCCTTAGATTGCACTACATTTCACTATGCTTCATAGGGTCTTGCAAAATAGTCTGAGTGGTCCAGGGGCCCTGAACTAATAATTTAAACCTCTGGTAAGCATCTGGAACTGTCCCTATATTTTCTGAGAACTTTCTGATTTCCAAAGAGGATCAGTCCTAAAGCATATTTCACAGGATGAGTAAGGCCTGAAGTAAATTCCCTAGTGTGGGAAAGTTCCTCAAGTCACACATGGATCTGGAGTGTATGATCAGCTCAATAAACTGGGACTTAAAACAACTTCTGCATATGACTCCTCAGGAGATTTCAAACCTAATACCAGGGAAACCTTTTGAGGTGAGCTTAGGAGGAATTCCTCTGTTTTGCTTCTCACCAAATTCAAATCAAAAAATAAGTTACACGTTCAGCCCTATACCTTTTGTAGACAAAGGCTGTTGGCTTATTTTTAATAATTAAATGAAATTTCTAAAAGCATGAAAAAGCAGCAGCATGCACGACATGAGCCTCCAGAATTGACTAACCATAAAGATATTTATTGACTGTTAATCTACTTAAATACAACCTCAGTTTTTAAAAAGCATTAGATAATTAGCACTGAATAATATGTGACAGAACTGGATATTCTAAAGATTAGTAGTCTTGGCTATGACTCATCTCTGTCAGAGCTGGGGAAAATTGTGGCAAAGAAAAAACATTTTTCTAACTTTTATTATAAAAACTTTAATAAAGTAATTCATTGTCTTTACTAACAAAATTCCTTTAGGCAGGTGGAAAAATAAATACATGTATACTTCTATATCTCATTGGGAGTCGTGTCAAATAGAATATGAGTAAAGAGACACGTCTTAATAGCTTGCTAACAGTTTGAAAAATAATAGTATTCATGATTGCATAAGAGTATCTAAACTTCTGTGCAAAGGAATTTTTAGCCTGAGGATGGAAATTTATTACATTTTTTTTCAGGAAGATAAGATGTCTTCACATGTATAGTCTAAATGTGTTTCTGATTCTAAATTTTTGAGATCAGAGGTTTGTCGATCCACAGACATTCATTTTAGTAACTCCATTTGCTTACGATGCGTCATCAACCTCAAAGGCAAGGGCTACATCCATCCGGTCAGAAAGTCTGACTTAAATACAATCTTTTTACTTTCACTGGGGTCAGACATCAAAATAACATCAGCTTGGTAAACAAACACATTGTTTTACTCAAGTGAGCTTTTAGACATCTACGCATAGTGAATTAAATTTTGAATTTTGGATCTACACAGCCCTTTAGGTAAATAACATGTGTCAATTTTTCCTTATAACTGTTGGACCCATAATAAAGAACTGCATTTAAAAATTCTTATTGTTTATGCTTATGAAAATAGATATTTGAAAAACATGCTTTGCCTGGTATGCAGAGACACAGATTTTAGTTTGATTTCTCACTTTCATGAGCTAGCAGATTTTGAAAGCTAGGAAGTTTTCCAGGAGGCCAGACCACTGCACAGACTTCCAAGGGGATAAACTTCCACTAGGAGGGTCTTTGAGAAAACTGGCTACCTCTTGTGAGAAGTAACTGCTAAAGAACTGGACATGGAGGTAAAGCAAAGGCAAGTCATGTTGGCAGCCCATGGAGTCGGTCTGCCACTGCAAACGACCAGAACAGTGTCCAAAGTCTCATGTGGCATTCCGTCTCCGCATCAGAAACTTTTATCTCAGTCCAGCTTTATAATGATAGTTAAGATAGTTCCATCCTTTAAATTCTAACTGAAATCTAAACACGTCACAATTAGAGTAACCACAATGGATGCTTTATTTAAGTTCTTGACCTAGTTAGCATTTGTTAGATGTTACACAATGCAGAAGTGTTACACTCACTCTGCAGAGCTACTAGACACATTAAGAAAGGTTTTGGGTATTAACTGCAAGACAGCAGGTATACGCATCTCCAGTCTCACACAAATGTGGTAAGCACATCCATTCAGAGATTTACTTGCTCTGCCCTCATTCTGTGGGGGACTTATACTACTCTCCTAAAAATCCCCTCATAATTGAGCTCTCCCCAATACCCTCTAAGAAAAACATGAAGATTCTCTTTCCTCCTCTTTTATAGCAATGGTTCCATCCAATTTCCAATAAATATTTATCCACAGAGTCGGGGCATGGTGAGGAAGCCACTTCAATTCCCAAGCAACCCCGACAAAATCTAGTGGTTAACAGGAAGAACCTGATAAAATAAAATGCTCCTCTCCTGTCTCCAAAGGGGTTGAGTCTCAGGCTAACACGCAGAGGGAGGAGGACTCAACTGTCCATTCTAATACATTACCTACACCTCACTGGTACTTGTAATACCTTAGGTCATGTGTCCTAAAGAAAAAACAGAAAGGGCTGGAGCTTCTAAAAGGAAGGAGGAAGGCTAAGAAATTACCGCCTGTGCAGGGCCAGGGTTGATGGGTGTAAGTCAGTGTCTATGAACTGCATGTACGGCTGTTTCCTTACAAATGAAAATGAATGGAGACAACCTATGCCTTTTCTAGGAGTGGCTGCTAAGCGCAGAGATGGTGGAGATAGTGAAGTAGCAAGGATCTGTAATCATCTAGGTTTTACAGAACTACGACTGAGGCTCAGGACACTTGGAAGAATGACTAAGAGAAATGTAAAGTAGACAAATGATGTTGTCAAATAATTTGGTAGGCTGCTAAACTTCTAGATAAGCTACTTCCTTTGTAAAATTCACTTATTATTTTATTCAGTGCTTGAGATATGAATATGAGACTTATGGATCTCACATTTAAAGAGGAAGTCCCATCCCTTTAATCCCCTTACCTGTTTAGGTTGCTCTAATATTTGAAGGTATGGACCATCTGCTAAAAGTGAAAACAACAAACAGAAAGCAAAAGAAACTGTGAGGCTTCTCAAATTTGCTACAAAATATAAAGTAAAAAAAAAAAAACCTGAAATTATATTTTTAAATAGAGGTTTCAAATTCATTTGTTAGCTAAAATTCCATACTGATATAATTACCTTCCTCACTTGACTAGTAACTTTATTTTTAACAACAGTTTTATGCCTTTAGAGAACCATGATAAATAAACATATGTTGAATGGTGACAGCACATTGCACAATCCAAGAAAAGGTGTGATGTCCATCTGGCAAGGATGAAGATGTCAACAGACTTCAAAATCTTGACTACTAACAAAGCATTTTTAAAATGACACAAATACCAGTCAAAAGCAGCAACCATTTCCTGGGCACCATGACATTTCCTTTTGCCTTCACATCATTAGACACTGACTTCCATTCCTCAAAGAGAATGTGCTTAATGTGAAAGTAGAAGAGACTGAGCTTGCACCCACATGTGTGAAATACACAGATAGTGATCTCAGGCTACCTGCCTTTCCTGAACTAAGTGTTCGGTTCCTTTCCCTTATCTGAATCCCCAAGTACTGCCTTCATTCCCCAACTGGCTAGGTTGTTTTCCCTGCCCTCCCAAATTTCATTTGGTCTATCAGACCAAAAGTCTGGTGGACTCTTCCTGCTAATTCATAGCTTTTGATGTTTGTATACAATCTCTGAATACTGAATACTCTCATATCAACTCTTCTAAAACAGCACAGGCATTTTATAAAATCCTGAAAAAAATTTAATTGAAGATAGCTGCATTTCAATAAATTATGATAAAAACATAAAGAAGACTAGAAGCTTAATCCATACCCTGACCATATCTGACTTTGGAAAATTCAAAAGCAAATCAGAACCTCTGGTAGTATAAAATCAAATTGTTCAATATGAGAAAGTCCCTAAGCTCCCCAGCTGGTTTTTATGTCAATAGTATAATAACCCTCAGCTCTGCAATAGAGGCATATGGTGTTTCTCACTCATTTGACTGCAAATTAAGATGTCTGATACTAACAAAATTCTAGGAGAATGTTTCTGTGTTCATTTCAGTCTTTCAGTCTCTTAACCAGAAGTTCATTCTTTTAGATAACAGAAGTTCATATTATTTTAGATAAATAAGTTTATGAAGAAGATTTAAACCTTCATGTTGAAATTAAAAAATAAACTATAACTTAAGAGAGAATTTATTTTTATCTTCTCAGTGTTATGAATCAGGATAAGGCTAGAGAACTGGAGGAAACAAAGGTATAATTATTTCCTGTTATTATGCAAGAAATTTATAAGGAAGTCAGTTGAAAAATGACTGAATTTGAAGCAAAACATACACAAGAAAGGAAAAATGGGTAGTGACTGGCCAATGCAGTATTAATTTAAGAAAATTAATCTTCTCTTGTCTGTATGAAATTTATCCTGGATACCTTAAAATACTTTTAGGAAAAAAATTGCAATTTAAAAATTCCAAAAAATGGCTAGAACTTAATTTTTGATAGGGAAATAAAACTGCTTAGAAATAGAAACATTTTCACACTACTAATACAGCTTGTGTGATAATGTAACAAATCTACTCATAAAAACATTCCCTCTTGAATGCTATATCAAGAAGAGAGGCCTCTAAAAAAGCAACCTTTGTATGTCATGGAAAATATAGAAGAGTTAGATCACGTTTACATTAAACTTCAAGTCTCTCACTTATTAACTCTTCTAAAAATACTTGAAGGTTTGCTATTATTTTTGCTGTATGGCTTAATTTCCTTTAAATATGTGAAATTCCAAGGTTTGGGAATTTTATTAGTGAAATGAGGCCATTTTTCTCTTTTAGGGAACACACTCAAAAGTTAAATCAACTAGAAAATTGGATTTGATATGCATGTAGTCATTTTAATGCCAATTTTATTTTGGCCACATTTCTATGCCATGAAGTAACATCCCACTATGTAGAGAAATTTAACTTACAGTATATATAACATTATAGACCTAAAAGTTGTACCATATCACATAGAGTTTTCAACAAGTAGTAGAACTAATAGTTTCAGATTTCAAGAAGATAAAACATCCATGAGAATTACAAGTTAATATTGGCTTACATAACCTCTCTACCCTTTAAAATGTGAATAAAACATTCATACATCTTGGATCATAAAAATTGGACTACGCCACTGCAGCAGAGAGGGGAAAACATAACAATAAAAATGATGAGGTAATAACTGGAAAATGAGATTTTGAAGTATAATTTTGAGAGTTTTTCTAATACTATGGCAAAATAATTTCTACAACACGAAGCTCTGACCACATAATATTTACTGAGATGTTTCTTTTGATAATCTTATTTCAACCTCCATAAACTTGATGAAATAAAAACATTAAGAAAGCATCTACTCAGGGTACTGCTTGGCACTTACAAGGCATTAAATGGAAATGTTTATGTTTTCTGAGGACAGAACCAAGTTCTTAGGCTTTCAATAAAGCACTGATACTAAGAAAGAACTTTGAACCCCAGAATAAAAAGTTCACAGGAAACACAGAAGCTACCAAGATCTTTACTTGTTCACAGGAAGCTGACCTACAGCTCAGATTGGACAGCACTTCACAAGACCTCACATATAGCAGCCTACAAAATACGTTCTGTGGGGTAAAGAGAGAAAGGCCTCAGCCATACAACTTCTGCTAGGGAAGGTGAACATATAGCAGATTTATTTTTTCCCTCCCAAGAATTCCTAGATATACATAATAGCGATAAAAAAACACAGAACATTTTGATCTAAAAAAAGAAAAGTGGGTACCAGAGTAACAATATTAATTATAAGCGAGAATGATACAAACTGGATGAAGTCTCCCAATGAGGACAAGCTAGTCCATGGTAAATAGAATAGCTGATGTCCACTTGGTGATTACGAAAGTCTCTGGGTTTTTTGTTTGTTTGTTTGTTTGTTTTTTAAGGATAATCTCTACACCCAACATGGGGCTCAAACTCACAACCCCGAGGTCAAGAGTCGCGTGCTCTACTAACTGAGCCAGACAGATCCCCCAAACACAAAACTCTCTGTTCTATATACAACTTCCACAATTTACTCATGCTGCCTCAGAGCATATGTTAAGTCCCACTAGTGGTATGACGAGCACATAAAAAGAGCCATCACACAAAGCTTACATACAAATCAATAAATAAAAAGAGACTAAATGAGCTGATTTTTTAAATCATCCATATGAGATTCAACAATTTGTCAATGGTAAGAATATGGTCATATTAGAACGAAGGATGATTAACATAAGTTTTATCCAATTGGTCAGACTGTGAAGCCAAAAGCTTTTAAAAGATGATTTTTCTACTGAGATGATTTTTATGATTTTTGTAAACTTTTGTAAACTTTGTTTCCCCAGTGGATGGCACACAACAGATACTCAAATAAATGTTTGGGGAACAGACGTGAGAAGTGGAGAATACCTCACGTGCATCTGGGATAAAGGAAACAGGAGTCATAAAGAACCCATAGCTAATAAGATTGGGTGAAAAGGAAAATGCTACCGGAAAAAAATTCCTTCCGAGCCATCCTCACAGATATCACTAACAATTAAGTCAGACAATGGGTAAGTGGGATGGAACACCACTTTTGTGCAAGTATAGTCTGTCTGTGCAAATATAGTTCCAACAAGTCTAGTGAAAGTTGGTTTTTAAAACATGTATCACCATTTCCTTTCTAGGAAACATATTACTGACTTGCTACAAGAAGCTATTAGCAAATCTTGAATTTAAAAAAAAAAAAACAAAAGCAAAATAAATGACAGGGTAACAGGGATGAGGAGTTTTCTTACCTGTAGGTAGTGGCATCTCTGGTTGAAATAACTCTGGGTTAAATATTGTATGAGTCAAAGGATCCAAATGAAACATCTGTAAAAAAGAAAATTTAAATAATTCAAACTTTACTTTTCCAACATTGTATTAAATATTTGAAGTTGAAACACCTAAAACAATTATTGGAACAAAAACCAAAGCACAAAGAAAAATCTGAAAATATTTCAAGTCAGGATTTTAAAAACATGTTCATGAAACCTAGTGAAATTCTCATGTGTACAGAACTTTACATGTTTGGGCCATGTTTATGTGACAAAGGGATTTGAGAAGAATGACCTAACTATAAAGTCCACAGAGGCCAGCACCTGATGTAGCTTGCTTATTAGTATATCTTTAGGGCCCAGTGTATATTTATCACAGAGTGGATACTTAATATTTTTTAATGACTGATTTAAAGCTGTACTCTCAAAAATATGAGCATAAGAATATAGTCCTAGAAATCCTAGAAATATCTCTCTGACGATGGTAAAGAAACTCCTACTCTAGCCATACAACTTCAAGACCTGTAAGAATTAGGCAATAGCCCCAGAGCAATTTACAGAAAAACTAAAAATGTAACTTACAGTCTAAGCAACAGATATAACTGAGCACAGAGCTCCCTCACTTTTTTTTTTCCACCTCTACTTACTTAGCACAATGCAAAATACCTGGAATTTAACAGGTGTGATAGGCTGGATAATGGTGTCCCCCCAAAAACAACTACAACCTAATCCCCAGAACCTGTGAATGCTATCTCACATAGCAAAAAGGAGTTTGCAGGTGTTATTAAATTAAGAATACGGACACAGAAGGGTGCATGGGTGGCTCAGTCTGTTGAATGTCTGACTTCTGTTCAGGTCATGATCTTGCGGTCCTGGGACTGAGCCCTGCATCAGGCTCCCTACTCAGCGGGGAGTCTGCTTGTCCCTATCCCCCTGCCCCTCCCCCTGCTCATGCTCTCTCTCTCTCTCTCATATGGACATAGAGAGATAATCCTGAATTATTCAAATGGGCTCAGTAAGAGGGACGGAGGAGATCAAAGTGAATGGCAGGAGATATGACAATGGAAACAAAAAGCTGACATGATGAAGGGGTCACAAGCCAAGGAATGCAGGCCACTTCTAGAAGCTCAAAGAAGCAAGGAAAAGAAATCCTTCAGAAGGAATTTAGCCCTGTGAACACCTGGATTTTAGACTTCTGACCTTCAGACTGTAAGAGAATAAATTTGTGTTGTTTTAAGTCACTAAATCTGTGGTAATTTGTTACAGTAGCAACAGAGAGCTAACACAGTGGGCAAGCAATATGTGTTGATTGAATTATATATTCTGTCTTGATAAGTTACTAATAAGTACTTACCCCAAGAGAAAATTTCCTTTCCATTTAGTTCATTCAGGACTTAAAATTTATACTTCTGAGCTTAGCATTTGTTTCAACCTAAACATCTGTGGACCGCACAAAAACCAACCATGTTTCATTTTTTATGATATGCTAGTTAGTAAGCTGGTATTAAACAAAAAGAAAAAGCAGCATTACAATTTATTCCTTTTAAAAAAAATCTTTATCTATTTGAGAGTGAGCGAGCGAGACAGCGAGACAGAGAGCAAACGAGCGGGGGGAGGGGCAGAGGGAGAGGGAGAAGCAGATTCCTCGCTGAGCAGGGAGCCCGATGCGATGTGGAGCTCGATCCCAGGCCCCTGGGATCATGACCTGAGCTGAAGGCAGACGCTTGAGCCGAAGGCAGATGCTTAACTAACTGAGCCACCCCGGCACCCCTCCTTTTTTTTTCTTTTATTAGTATATTATTGGAGGTTCCTGGAACCTATGAGCCTAGTATGCCTAGTTAAATCAAGAGTAAGAAGCGTAGTGTTTAAATAAAGAACATTTCAGATCCAGTTGTGAGGTATGCAAATTTTCAACTGAGGAACAGTAAATCTGCTCCACTTCAATGCTTAAGAGTAAAGTTCACGTATGCTATCCATTGTTCGCTGGAAAGGAAACATAGGAATCAAAAAACATGCTATTGTAAAAAATGGGCCCCCCCTTACAGAGTATTTGCCGGTCTCAGAGAGGAGATGACCTAGCAAAAAAATGTCTTCCCTATGGTCCTGCGGGTGGCTAAAATAACCGAGGAGAGGGCAGAGCGCTGGTCGTGGAAGCGATGCACACACTCCACTTCAGACAAGGAAGACAGAAGCCGCATTGTGCACTGCACCTTGCATTGTGTATCAGGTCACAGTTGGACAGCGAATTCCGGAATACATTAAAACACTGGGGATATTTCACCGAGGACATGTACACTTCAGGAAATATATACCGTTAAGCTTGAGACAAGGGAAAAAAAAAAAAAAAACCTCCTACTTCAAGGACCTCTCGCCTCAAAAATGGAAATATCAGATTGTACCCCACCCCTGTTGCTGATGATCACAAAAGTGCCCACATAAGAAAAACTCTCGAAATGAATGTTTTCAGCAGGTTTTACTTTTGTGTGGCATTAAAGGACCATCTCCTGTTGATAAGATTTCCTGTGTATAGACAGGAAAGCATGGTCTAAAACCAAGCAGAACAACCCTAATGCTGGTTACAGTCTGCCTTCAAATGTTAGAGATAGCATATTAAAAATGAAAGGTAAAACACGGGTTTTGATAATATGAGTGGCCAAATATCTTTTCTGCTGTAATCAAAGAAAATGTTCCTAGATTGATCCTATATCACCATTTGTACAATAAAATTCAAAAGGAGCATCTTAATGTGAAAAGCAATGCATACTCATTCTTTCTAAATAAATCAGAACATTGTCAAGAGTAGTGAATGCTACACAAGTCTATTTTATTTGAAGAAGTGATACCAGATCCTTTCAAAAGTATTTCACTTTTGGTTTTATTTTCCTGTCTGCATGTGTAAATTTGGAAAATCCATTTTTTAGGTGGTTGCCACTAAAGTTTTAATGTGAAATGATTATGAATCTTGGGCCAGGGTGTCCTGGTACCTAGTGTTCCCTCTCCTTATCTAGTCTAGCAAACTACATTTTCCAAATCACAGCTTACATAGACTTTCTCTGGAAAGCCGTTCATAACTCTGCTCTTCCTTCCAGGTAGTAGAGTGATCCCTTTTGACATTTCTAGCTCATTCTGTGCAAACTACAGCAGCATTTATCACTATATAGAAACTATGTTTCTGTCCCTCCTATTAGAACGGCAGCTCTATCACTTTGTAGTCCTTCCTAGCCAATGTTCTGGTACATAGTAATGCCTCAATAAGTAGCTGATGAATGAATAAATCTCAAAATTTTAAATACTCCTTAAAAATCATTACGTTAAAAATTTAATATTGCTATTGTAATTACCCTAGGTTCATTTAATATAAATCTAATATAAAATACATAAAACACATATGTATGTATGCGCGTGTATATATACATGCACACACAGAGGGAGGGAGGGAAAAGGACAGAGGGAGAGAGAGAGGGAGGGATGGGGAGGAAGCAAAATATTAGTAATCAACAAAGATCTGTTGGACTATTCAATATTTCTATAGGCCTGAAATTTTTCAAAGTAAAAAGTTGGGCGAAAAAAAATTGGTATCCCTTCATAACCGAAAATAAAATTATAATGAACAGTTATATGTTCCCCAAACACATTCATTGCCCATTTAGTCTTTTCAACGCCCTTGTGAGTGTGGGGCTAGCATTCCTATTTTGCAAATCAGAAAAGTGGGATGGTGGGGGGCCAAGTGATTCCTCAAGTTTTAAGAGCTGATCAGAAGCAGCCAGCACCTACAAAAATATATTTGAATTCTAAGGCCAGAGTTCTTTTCACTACACTAATTTGCCTCCTCACTAGATGAGCTTTAAATAAATATTTTGTGTTTCCCCCAAAAAGACACATTCAAGTCCTAACCCCCAGTGCCTGTGTACGTAACTTTACTTAGAAATAAGATCTTCACAGATGTAATCAAGTCAAGAAGATGTCATACTGAAGGGTGGACCCTGAATCCCATGACTGGGACTCCGTGAGAGAAACGAGAGGGAGATTTGGATACAGGGACACAGGAGAGACACCCAGGGAAAAGGCGGGTCTGCAGGAGCGATGCAGCTACAAGCCAAGGAGCACTGAGGATTGCTGGCAACCACCAGCAGGCTAGGAGAGAGAGGCCGGGAACAGAGAGTCTCCTTCAGAACTCCCAGAAGTCACCAACCCTGTCATCATCTGGATTCTGGATTTTGATATTTCTAGCCTCCAGAGCTGTGAGAGAATATATTTGTTTTTGTTTTTTGTTTTGTTTTGTTTTTAGAGAGGGAGAGGGGGAGGGTGCAGAGGGAGAGGGAGAGAGAATCCCAAACAGGCTCCACACCCAGCACAGAGCCTGATGTGGTCTTGATCCTACAACCCTGAGATCATGACCCGAGCCAAAACCAAGAGCTGGACGCTTAACTGACCAAGCCACCCAGGCACCCCATATATTTCTGTTTTTTTTTTTTAAGCCATCTGGTTTGTGATCATTTGTTAAAGTAGCCCTGGGAAACTAATATGGTAGTTATCATTTGATCTGTAGCATATATAATTTTTATGCAATAGTACGTGTGCTAGGAGGGTTTAAGTTACTCATTTTATATAACATGTCCTCTCTGACCTCACATGGAGGGACAGGGAAACTGCAAAAACAATTTAAAATAAATTTTTACCAATTTTAGAGTTTTCCTGATAACTACTACTGCTGCCTCTGTATATTTAAAAATATGAATACATCTACAAAAAAATTATCAGTGAGATTATAATACTTACTTGTTCATGCCCTCCCAAATATGTATCGTCTTCTGCCATTCTGGAGCTGTGTATCAAAACAAAACAAAACCAGACTATAAGAATGGAATGACACTTAAGAATTCCATCATGCAGGAGTAAACTATATTATTCCAGTAAGACCAAACATAATCCTTTTTAAAAGATCTTAGGAGGGGGGACATCAACCTTAGAAGAGAAGTTCCTTTTTGAAATCGAAATCTACCAGCAGGAAAATTGCACAATCAAAGAATTACCACGTATGTACAATCCAAAACCATGGCAAGCTCACAACAGTGTCCTGGAGTTTGGTGCAACCAATCTTCATCCTCTGTATAAAAATCATACATACTGAAATTCTCAGAGGTCATTTCTATTTGTCACCATCTAGACTTCAAGGATTTAGTCTTAGCTCTGTGTGTAGATTACTTTCCAACCTTTCATGAATTCTGTGATGGTCCTAGAACCGTGTCCAAGCTTTCTACCCACGTCTAGAATTGAAGAGCTCAGAGAGGGTCCTCCTGCTGTCAGAGGGGCCTGGTTAGTGATTTGTGCAGCACTAGGGGGGACAACTACGGTGTGCCATGCTCTGCCCTCCAGTGCGTTCCACTGCAGTAAGTCATTTCCTACCCTCGTCCAAGTGGTATGGAAGGGCGCTTGGGTGGCTCAGTCGGTTAAGTGTCGGACTCCTGATTTCGGCTCAGGTCATGGTCTGGGGGTCCTGAGATCGAGCCCTGCGTTAGGCTCCACGCTCACAGCGGAATCTGCTTAAGATTCTCTCTCTCCCTCTACCTCTGCCCCTCCCCTCATTCGCATGCACGCTCACAGGCTCTCTCTTTAAAATAAATAAATAAATCTTAAAAAAAAAACAAAGTGGTAGAGAAAGACTGTAAGAGTGCTTATTATCAAGGCTACAGTCTCAAGATTTAATCAACCCCAGCCAGATATTAATGTACTGCAGGTCCTAGCAATCTTCTATTACCCAGAGGCCCTGAGAAAAGTGAGAAACCACATGGCCAGATAAAAACAGTATCTAAAAATCACATATCATTTTGGATTTACTTACTTAACAAATATCCTTATCATTACTTTACATACAGGCTGATTTTATTTAAATTTACCTAGATCAAACTTTAGATCTATTTATGTGAAAGATTAAAGGACAAAAAAGGCTGAAAGCAAATATTAATTCCTGAAATAAATTTTTCTTTCATTTTTTACTAAAATATAGTTGACACATGATTTTACGTTAATTTCAGGTATACAACATCCCTGAGACAAGCTTTTTGTTTTTTGTTTTTTTTTTCCATGAAGTCTATAAAGCACCTGGGACTCGGGCTGAGAATGTTAACTGTATGCCAAAATCTGTACTCTCCTTTTGCACGGTAATAGTTGTAGCTGGAAATGTGACTGCTCAGCTAGACTATACCCCACACTTCCTTAGAATGAGGGATGGCCACTTGATGAAATGCTCACCAGTGGAATATCAAAACTATCTGTGTGCCACTTCTAGGTCTGGGCTTAAGGCCCTTGACGTGCATCCTCCATGTTTCTGTTTTGTTTAGTTTTTTTCTCTTTCCTTCTGGATAAAACCTAGACATGAAGAAGACCAAGCTTCTACCACAGAGATGACGATGAGTGGCAGCTAATACTGGTAGTGATGTGAGGGAGAAAGAAATCTCTTTGGTCTTTGACCTAGGGCATTGCTGGGTCTCTCTATTAATACAGTCTAATGAAGACATCTCCAGTAAGGACAAGATCCTTCAAAGAGGACCCTGGTTTTCAATGACATCCTCTCCTGCCAGAGCCCTCTGTGCCTGACAAGGAGTAAGCAAGCCTCATGAGGACTGCTAGTGGGATACAGAGCAGTGTCCAACTTCAGCAGGAGGGAAAAAGGTGTGTCCTATAAATAAGAACTTCATGAGGATTTGAAAGAAATATTTGTCTAAAACATAAAACTGCTGAAGATTGACAAATAACTGTAATCAATTAAGATAAGTAGCTTAAAAAAAAAAAAAAAGGGAAAATTGCCCTGATACAGTAAAAAGGAATTAAGTCATTCAAAATTCCAGAGTTCTTCCACTACTTGGGTGTGTGACTCTGGATATACAACAAAACTCACTATGGCCTTGTTTCCTCATCTGTAAAATGAGAGGTTTTGATGGGATCGACCTCTGACAACAGTATAACTTTGCTGAGCTTGCAGTAGGTTAGTTGACTAATAAATGCTTATTCAAAGAACAAATCACAGCTCTTTTAGTAAACTTGGATTTTTATATGTACTTAGGTATATATCTATATTAAAGAGTCATTATCATAATTTTCAGTTATTTGAAGAATACTAGTAAAATAATAAGTGTTACATTGAAATGCAGTGCTAATGTCAGTTGCAATAGTCCATGTGGAAAATCCTTTTTCTTAGAACACCCAGGAGTCCAAACTTCCAAGAAAGATACTAAGACCATTTTTTTTTCTTTTTTGCCTTTAGGCTTTCCATTAACGTGGGCTGACCCCCTGAATCCTCTCAAATAATCTGAGCCTATGGTCTTCAAAAGCAGAGGCGAGACTGTTGACTTATTAAATGGACAGAATCCACTGAGCACCTGTTACTTTGTATATATATGTGTACCTGTACATGCAGCTGTGGATGGCTTCTTGACCTTTGAATATAAAGTGGCCCTCACTTTGATTTTAAAAACTCAACTAAAATTACTTTATTAGAACTGCCACAGGGTTCTTATCATGATCTTTACTGTAGTTAAAATTTTAATGAACATCTCTAAACTGTAGGCACTGGACAAACTACCCAATTAAATACAGTCCTCCTGCCAACACCCTCTCCATGCTTTTTGCCCAAATGTGTGCCAAAAGATCACTGTTTTAAAAGCCCAACAGCAGCCCAAGAGATACCAGGGTGGTGATTAAAATCTGAACTTTTACAGGCTTTGTAATGCAGTTAAATTCACCGTAAAGAGCTGAGGTAACAGGAACCCTCAGAGTGATGTCAATGTTAATTCATAATTTAAAAATAAAATGTCAAAAGAAACCAAGAATTCTTTGGAAAGGATGAATCACTGAGTAATATTTGCATTAATTGTAAAAGCAAGTTTTATTTCAAAATTCTGAAATACCAACTAAGCCTTTGGAACTGAAGGATTAGGAAAGACCAGGGAAAACCCCTCCCGCCCCCCTGCTCCCTGAGCCCTTCCTCTCACTTTCCCTTCGCACAGTTCTGTGCTTTTGAGGAAGGACCTTGAAACAGAGAGGAAGATACTGCGTTGACTAGTGAGAAGATGGGCCTAAGCTCTGCATCTCTCTCCTCCAATGGTGAGGTTTTCAGGAAAATGTTCACACCGTGGAAAGAGAAATAGAAAATGTAGCTAGCTAGCAATAAAAATAGCTTCTCCAGCGAATTCTTTGTGTTTCTCACATGAGAGGCATAATGTTATAACTGGCTAAGTTCTAAATACGTGACGAGTTCTATATGAAATGCCTAATGGATTCTTTTCTGCACATCTGTGACAATCGCACCACTGACCTCAAAGGCCAGCACAAAGAGTTCTTAGTGAAGGCAGCAAGACCAAGCCCACTTCCCTCCTTATAAGTGGAGGAATTTTCTAGGATCAGATATACTCACATTTTTTGAGCAGGGCCCACTGTAAGGAAACATACTCTTTTTGTTCTATTAGATTTCACTAAAAAGAAAAACAACAAACTTTTCAAACCCCCTAATGGGTGACAATCTGCAGTTAGAAAAACAGAATTTTAGGTGCCATTCAGAGGTCACAGTTGGGAATCAGAGAGATAAAGTGTCTCTATTTTCAAGATTATAATCAGCTATAACAGAAACCACTTAGGTGTAATTTTAATACCTCATCCTGGATAGCAGTGAGGATGAAATTATAGGAAAGACAGTGACTTTTCACCATTTCTGTGTTGAATAATAAATTGATATAGATAAAGGCTATTTATCTAGACAGAGGAATTTTTTTTTTTTAAAGACTTTATTTATTCATTTGAGACACAGAGATACAGAGAGAGAGAGCATGAGCAGGGAGAGAGGCAGAGGGAGAAGGAAAAGCAGGCTCCCCGCTGAGCCAGGAGCCCAATGTGGGGCTCGATCCCAGGACCCTGGGATCATGACCTGAGCCGAAGGCAGATGCTTAACCACCTGAGCCACCCAGGCACCCCTAGACAGAGGAATTTTTTTTTGACTTTTTTTATTGTTATATTAATCACCATACATCATCAGTTTTTGATGTAGTGTTCCATGATTCATTGTTTGTGCATAACACCCAGTACTCCATGCAGAACGTGCCCTCTTTAATACCCATCACCAGGTTAACCCATCCTCCCACCCCTCTCCCCTCTAGAAGCCTCAGTTTGTTTTTCAGAGTCCATCGTCTCTCATGGTTCGTCTCCCCCTCCGATTTCCCCCCCTTCATTCTTCCCCTCCTACTATCTTCTTTTTTTTT